GATTTTTTACTTTTCTTCTAAAAGTATTAAAGAAATATAGTTAACAAGGTGTATGCATAACTTCGGAGAGACAAATGAAGAAGGCGTGTTGAATTATATGCTGGAAACAGGCAAGGATTTTACAAGAATTCCAGGTGAATTATAAAAGCGTATGGCATTGATTGTTACTTCAAATATATTTGTCTCGAATTTATTCAGGAAACGTGTCGTGTAAATAGAACCGCAACCATGATTAACAATTATCATGTATGTATAGGTATAGTTAATAGTTGGTGATTCTACGCGTACTTTTTACACGTTTGTTTAGCCATTAACGTTTCATTTTGTAGTCTAGCAGTTTTTTCATAGTTTATTATTCCGGTGTAAGGGTTCTTCTTTTTTCGCTTTGTAACTATACATATAGGCGTAATGTACTGTAACGTGTGTGTAACGATATACACAGTTCTTATGTATATGTACCTTTCACAAGCACAAGCTCGAACGTACCTTACCTTAAGGGATATGTTTCTATTGCTAAAATCAATCATTTTTAATTTAGACAAATTTCCACTCGTGTACTTACGTCAGTATGAAATCTATACTTTTAAGTAGACATATAACATCAAGAACACGAAATTAAGGAGTCAATGTACACATATGATGAAATCGAATTATTTAATGATGTACAGACAATTTGTTCTTACAATCTCTTTAGAAACAAACAGTCTGTAGACTGAATCAATTAAAATTACAATCAGAAATACGCTTTATCCATTTTCTCCTCTTGCCTGCTAATGAAACTTCCATCCTGGGTAATAATAAAAGTAAGGAACAAAAGATTGTTTAGCAAACAGTTTTTCGCACGGAAATAAATCTAAATACCTCTTTATAAACGAGTCTACAGATCATCTTGATAAAACGACGTTCTTTGCACTTTAAAGCATCTGTCCCTTGCTGATCTTTCGTACGGTCATTTTAAACGATTCAGTCTGCAGTACATGAACAATTCCCTTAAGTTGATTTAAGTAAAATAGTGTCAGTAACTTGCGTAAGCACTTTCTGCAATCGTTTGAACTTCCATATGAGTCTTTCGATTCTCTTTCAATCTGACGAGACGGTACGCACGAGCATAATCCGAAATGTAATTGGGAAGGGCTTGGCAAAGATTGCTTTTTAAAAAGTTTCACCTTAATTAATAAGATACAAAGATCAATGCATATACAGGGTGAGGTGAATGTGCCCTTATTATATCACAGAGAGGCGTAACAAAAATATAAAATAATTTAAACTTTTTATAGTATTTTTTTGTATGAATCGTACACTCATGCAACGGCTATGCGGTGCGATTCGTCCCACAATATCCGAAAATTCTTCACCGATGAATCTCGTAATTGGAAAGAACTTGGTGTGCAATTTAATGCGTGATTCGATGAATTCTACAAAATGAAGTAGGAGAAACGAAAAAGGGCTAAGCGATAAAGTAAGAATAGTTTCACGTAGTGTGGAACGTTAAAAAGATAAGATGTTCTTACGATATTCTAACACGTGAATTGCGAAATTAATATATCTATTATTTTATTCGTTTATCAGTGAATTTAATAATTATCTTTGATAGTTATGAACTGTATCGTTTGCGGTACGAATCGCATTGGCATTATTATTGTCATCATCACTCCTCTTTCTTTTTTACCAGCCTCTTTCTCACCGTTCTTATCCTTCACGTTCTGTGGCTGTGCGTTCTCACTTGTTCTCGCACACTCTCATACTTTTCTCTCTCTCTCTCTCTCTCTCTCTCTCTCTCTCTCACCCTTTTCTCTGTCTCCCCTATTCTCGCTTTATTTTCCTTACCGTTTCACACACACACACACACACACGCGCGCATTCTCTCTCCTGTTCGTCTTTCTCTCTGTTGTTTCTTAATTCCATCTATAGCTAGCCCCTGACAAAACTAAATTCTGATAAACAAGAAGCAAGCTATTGAGCGCCATCAATATTATCCTCTTCCTGTCTTATCCACTCTGCGCCATATACTTTAATGTATTCCAGTATAACAGTAAAATTCAGTATGTAATACATATTTGTACACGCGAGCGCGAATAAACGCGTGCGAACGACCACGTCCGTTCGCGATTGTACGCGTACGCGTGTTCACCATGTAGATATTAAGAATAAAAGATTAGTTTTGTGCCGATGTACAACAGTGTTTGAATGGTAATTCGACTTACATGTATACAGATTATACATACGTATTACGTACGGTTTCGCAAGTACAAAGTGGGATGCGAGGACGATTCGATTGATCCAAATTTTGTCGCTTTGACTAGTAGGCACACTATAAACATCAATACCATAATTATCTCTTAATTAATTAAGGGTGTTAATTTTGGAGGATTCTTAAGGGGAGAAGAATCACCGAGTTTGATTATTAAGTAACAATCCTTATTTTATCCTCCAAGAGTCTCTAAACATATATCTTGTTCATTAAATTGTTCAAGTAGTTAATTTTTCTTCTTTCTGTAGTTTCTGTCTGACAGCTAGTACTACTCTGAGAGAGTAGATTTCCGATAGAAATAGATAGATAGAAAGATTAGAAGACGAATTTGAAATGAATGCAGTGCATAAGATAATCGTGATCGTTCTCGCTGGTCACTTTGCACGATACGATGTAAAGATACATATCGTTCTCGATGGATAATTTACAAATATATTTATGGAGTTAATGAGAGTTTAGCGATATTAGTCCCATAGTAAGTTGGCGATAGAAAAAACCTGAATAAGTTCATAAGTTATGGATTCAAGTAGTCGGCAATTTATGACAAGAGATGTATAGTATAGAGTGTAAAATTCTCTCGTAATGTAACTATAATATACATATATAGTATAGATGTATCTATATGTGTATATACACGTGGTGTATGCGTAGTGTGTCCGAATATAAGAAGAAGATTAGTTCCTTGTTAAGTTTTTACCGTGTACGAAGAGGTACAAAATTTATAGGTATAGAATAGGCTATGAGGTCCGAAAGGCTATCTAATTCGTTTGATTTGCGCTAACGATCCCGTCAGTCGTAAATATTACGAGGTTTCTCATTCATATTTGGAATTATGAACGTATTACGTATGAACAAATTATGATCCGCACGAATGTTTGTACACCTACGAAAATTATTTAATCGTGACATTAACAATGAAAATCGACGTTCGAAGAAACAAAAAACTAGTTTCTCTTAACTACATTATTGCAAAAATAATTATTTCTAGTTCTCTAGCTTTTCCTAATCCTATAGTTAATGACGCTCCTTTTTATACACGTGTGCTATAATTTTTCGTAACAAGATGTATATTGAAACAGTTCCGATCAAATGGTGCGTTCATTATGCAATCGAGTTCAATAAGACATGAGGAAAATGATCAAATAGAGTCGAACCTCGAACGCCCAATGGAATCGTAATGGAGCAAAATTTTCGGATCGTTTTTTCCTTCTTTTTCTTTTTAAATCGACGTAACAATTCTTTTATTGGTTGACAATTATTGCGTGCGTATAAACAGTAGGTAGTGGATTCGCTTCGTATCCGCATTACGTCAAGCATATACTTATAATTCGGCCGTGCCAAGAATTGGGAAAAGGGTACCGAGGATGAGGAAGAACAAGAAGAAGAAGAAGAAGAAGAAGAAGCGGTAATAGGGGGTGAGGCTGACTTGGTAGCATGATCAGAATAAAACAATGAACGGAACGGATCGTAAGATTGTCGATACGATCAATGATTTAAGATATAGGAGAGAGAAGCATAAATTTGTGTGTAGTCGAGATCAATCGTTTCGAGAAGAGAATGCTCTGCACGTCGAGTACGTCGTTAATAAACTCTGTACAAACATTAACAGTTCATTTAACAGAACAACAACATTTACATCTCCCCGAATCAGGGGTTTTCATCGTGCACGAATTCCTCAACGCCGCAATGAATTTTTTGATCGCGATGAATTCCTAAAAATGTTTTTGTTTCATCCTCATTCTTTCACTACAGCCGGTTGATCGATGAATAACAAGTACAAGATTACGATCGATACGCCAGAACAAGAAACGTGATAATCACAAGGAAAGCTAGGATGAGCAACAATTTCACATGTATTCGACCAGTCGAAAGATAATTCAGCTAGTAATGATTGTCCGATGTAGAAAGTGCGAATCTGTTCGAAAAGAAAAATGGTACACATAGAAGGTTCTAACGACGCATTCTTTGTACATACATGTAAGGAAGGTTCGACTACCTTCTCAATCATATGCTTATGCCTATGTATCTGTTATTCGGCAAAGAAATTAATACAATGTGATGTCATAAAGCCTTCGCTTTCCACGTGGTTGATTTCATTCACTTTTAGATTGTTTCATTCTTATGCAATGCACATGCTCCAATAATAATAATAATAATTAATGAAACGGATGAAGGACAAAGTGATATCCTCCTTGGCCCTGGCGTACACCGGCTTTATTACATATAAAATATCAATACAAATGTTTGAGCCGTGTATTGGAAACTTTGTGATGTCGTCACAAAGTTCGTTCGAACCTTCCTCGAGAAGGGACACACGATATGAACAACGATGTAGGTCCACCTTAGAGTCTAGGCGATTTGTGCCTGACGATGACTTTTGATATTGATACTGATCAGTCTGAAATGATTGATATCAGCTCCGTGTTTCATCCTGATTCATTCGTGTGCAACCGTTTCATTTCGTCTCAACGTCAGCCCTACAAATTGTAACTTTGGTCGAAGCAAAACGCAGTGTTAATCACGGAGCTGTCATTTTGAATCTTATCATTAGATGAGACAACATATGACGCACATCCATATAGTACACGTATGATAGAATACGAGCTTTCTTCACATTGAGATTTTATACCATCAAAACGGTGGATCGTAGGTATAGTCGGTTTAGTTGTTCTTATTCTACTTGCAACGTGTCACACGTTCCTTCGTCGGGGTATACAGGAGAACGGTCGAACAGACGTACAGAAATACTTACAATTGTAACGTGAATAGAAAAATCTCTCGCATTGAGGCCTGTAACGTGTCAACACCTTTGTGATTCAATGCGACACAGTGCGACCGATGAACCAAACGCTATTGTTTCCTTTCGTTCATAAAGTTCACGAACGTGATAGCAAAATTTTCTTTAGATTTCCTCTTTCCAGTCAGTTTTGGAAAATGTATTAACGAAAGATTATCGTTATGAGACGCGATGTAAAAGTAACGAAGCCGTTCTCCGAGTACATTTTAAATTAAAAGCTCTTGTTCGTGCGTTCTCGCCGCTTACGTTTATTCTATTTTCTTAATGGATGCCACATGGCGACAGGACGTCTTGAAGCAGCCATCATTTGTCTCCAATGGACAAATGCTTTTCCTGTCGACGAGGGTCCCACGAAAATGTGACCGACGGAATATGGTTTGGAATTTACGCCTTGATCACCGCTCACTTCAGCTACAGTTAGTCTTATCTGTATATTCTGAAAGTTAGTAAAACAGAACGTGATTCTTTCGTGATGTTTTTACAATATCGAGAATAAGGTAATTTGAGGAAATATTTTAATTTACGAACCTGTAGGATGTGACTAGGCACGTTAAAAATAATCGCCTCATTGAAGATCGGACTTTCCTCTCCCTTCTTTATGGACGTCCTCTTCTTACGTATTTTCTTTCCGTTTTGCAGCAGATAAACCTTTAAAATAGTTGAATAGTGTATACTGCATTGTTAATACGTCTGTCATTAAAGTAAAAGTTGCGTTTTATTACTTTGACGAAGAAATCGCCAGGTACAGAGTTGGCGCCGCGTAGATTCTTCGCCTTGACGACTACCAAAGTGAGTCGTTCAGCCGTTTGCAAATAACTTAAAGAGAACATTAATTCCCCAAGCCTTAGCGTGGGCACGGACGACCCGATTAGCGGTAGCCACGTGGTCGCTGGTATTCTTGGCGCTGGTCCTAATCGTAACCTGGCCTCTCCTAGCAAGGACGTGCCACCCCCTATACTGGTTTCGTCGGAAAATATCTTGAAAAATTCATACGTATAAATTATGATACAGTCGACGAAATTTTAACGTGATTCAGTTTATGTAATGCATACTTCAACGAGGAGAGTCCTCCCTGTGGGACCATCGTCAAGGGGGAGCAAAAAGTTTTCTTGATAGCTAGGCGATGGGCTTCCTCTGTACAGTCTCGTCTTCACGTACATTTCTCTGTTCGGTAACAGGCAAACCCTGCAAAAACATTTGTCAGCATTTTACATATACATATAAGCATTTAATTTGATGAGTTTTGTAAAAACCTAGCAAAGCGGACCTAGCAAAGGTATCTTGAGCAGGTAGGTCATCCGGGGTAACGAGATCTCTGGCTTCGAGGACGCTGACGGCGAGATCGCCCTCGCTATCAGCACCCCGGCCACCCCATCTGTCGTATTGTACACCCACGCAGACGTGTCCGACGATGGGTGCTTCTTCCAGGTCGTTTAACATTACGCTCGTGTCGGAGCACACGCTTTCGCAGCTTATTGCTCTTTTTAAATTTGACTCGTCCGGAGGAGGATCAGGTTCGGGCCCTTGAGACCCGCGCCGACTTCCCGGGCTGACCTCGTTGAAATCGTTTATCGGATAGTTTCCGACGAAGCTCTACTCAAATTCAAACTATCAGTTAGTATTAAAATAAAAAGTGATGGTAGATTAATTATTAAAAGCTGCAGTACCTGAGAAAACTTCCGCTTCAGCTGCATGTCTTCAAATGAGGAATAGAACTCCTGACTATTTCGTCTTCTGCGAAACAACAAATTTAAACGAATCGATTTAACGTTCTCGGATCTATGGATCTCTCCATGGATCTAATGGATAGAATCGTGTTTTCAAAGTTACCTTGACGAATCGGCGTCATCGAGTTCGTTCAAGTCGTGAATACCGTTCAGTCTTTCCATGCTTTTCCTTCTTTGTTCGATGCTATTTAGAATATCCTGAAAATAAATCAAAGATCACAGTGCAATTTAATAACTCAAGTGTACCGTATCGATAGACTAAATACTATAAATACGTCGTAGTGGGATTTTCACACCTCTGAAGTTCTCGTGAAGCTGGGATCAGACAGGTACGAGTAAACTTCTTGATTATGGTCATTAACTAACAGCGGCGACGATGGTGGGTCTTGCAAACTATTGTACACCTATAAAAATAGTTGGTACATACAATTAAATAAATCGGTTACTCTGACTTACTGCAAAGTCGTTGAGTACCTCTTGTGCAGTTCTGTGTGCTTCCAAATTAAGTTCGGGACTGTAAAGATCTGAGCTGCGTCGAGAGCCGTCGGGACATATCAGATCGGAATCGTTCTCCGCAAAAATATCTCGAATCTCATTTTGCAATTGATTGCTACTGCTGTCCTCGACCAATGGCGAGGATCTCGGGGAAAAGCTGAACCGTTGAACTTGCTGCGCCGAGGAAACTACCGAGCTAAGACAGTAGCAGATAATAATGTAAGTTTCACATAAATTTAAATAATAATAAAATAAAAAAAAATAGGAAATGTGAAAACGTCAGACGCACTTGTAAAACTCCGAGGCGTCGATGTAACTCTGCGAAGTCACTAATCGTAGTGCGTTAAATATTCTTTCGCCGGTGGTCGGTTCGTTCTTTTTTGGCACATCCGTCGGAGGATCGGGCGGCGCGGGTGGCGGTGGTATCGGGCTCGAGGCCGAGTCGCCGTTGACCTTCATCGCGTTGATCGATCCCTGAATCGCGTCGTCGTAGTGCACGCGATCCTGATCTTGGTGGAGGCCCAACTCGTTCATCGGATCGTAAACAGGAAAGTCGGGTAGGCTCTGGATGTACTGCGAGACTTTCTGCAACCCTTGCGGCTCGCGAAACAAATAGGACGAGCCGATGTCCTCCTGAAGACTTCTGAACGGCGTCATCTCGATGCTCTGCATCTCGCTGCACTTGCGATCGAGGTCGTCGCTAAGATTCTGAGCGCTCTGAAGCATTTTGGACAGTTCCTCGGATCCATATATCGATTCCATCATCGTCTGGCTGGCAGTATTCGAAGAATTCGTCATGCCGAAACTGCTCGGCGAGCCTCTAGAATCATTCCTCACATGTTGACGTATCATGTGGTTCCGTTGAACGATGTCGTAGCTACCATAACTATTGTTACTGTCTTCGTCTCCTTTGCCATCCAGGGTAGCTATTGGTACACCGTGCACGCCATATCTGATCCTCGTCGATTCGATGCTATTATCGAATTGCCTGTAAGGGTTGCATCTGTCCCTTTCTTTTCTTCGTTCCTCCTCGAGGTCGTATCTGAATCTCGTGTCCGTGTGATTCTGCGAGCCGTACGGTGTCATTTGAATGCTCTCGCTCATAGTTTTCGTTGCGTCGCTATCGAATCTGAACGCTCCGTGCTCGTTCGACGTCTTGTACAGCCCGTAATTCTTCACGGGTTCGTTTTGGAAGAGGAACACCGACGGACCGGTCGATCTCGAGGGGATCGGTGGCGGTCTTTGCAACGACGGCGGCGGAGTTAGTGGACCGGGGCCGGCCTCTTGCATCCTCAAATAGTCTATAGTGCTCGAGGTTTGAAGCGGTGACGGCCTTGAACGTGGAATCGGCCTTTCTTGAGGTGCTGGCCTCAAAGGCTGCGGGGGTATTGTATTACTGGTGGTTGTAGTACCCAGAGGCGGATGGAGGTCTCTGTCCACTGGCTCGAATCTGTAAATATTATCAATTTCATCTTTTCAACCAGAGAACTGTCAAATTTTTTTTATTTAAAACATCGCTCCCATGATTCCCTCCCACAGATTTCCCTCCGGGTGTAGTTTATCAGCGTGTTCTTGCTTTTATAAAATAACATTTTACCTAATCACTCGGATATTTTTAAACACAACTCGGCTCGTGTTATCGTGTTAAGAGTGGCCTCCGTCGCTGTGTCCGCTGTTTATCTAAATTTCGTATCAACTACGTGATCGACGCATATCTTCATTAACACGGGACGGGATTAAATCCTGACCGATTGACCCGACCCATAAATGCGAATTTCATTTTACTAACATCGATTCTAACATCGTTGGTACTATTACATGCTAAATATCGATTAAGAGCTAGACATTGCGCTGCGTGTCTGATGAAACAAAGCTCGTATAATTTTCGTCATAAATATAGATGCGATCTATACACTCGAATTGATTCGCTCTTGACTCCTAGCATCTATACTTGGACCACCGTGATCCGCCAATTTCTCTTTAATGTTCACTCATCGCGTAAAGACTCGCGCGAACAATAACGCGAATTAGATATTAAAACTTGATGCCCTTAACAACGTCACCCTTACTCGATTGTAAGTTGCTCGAGTTGTTAATGCTTTTACTCAATTACTCTGAGTGCTCGTACTGGAAAAAGTTATTGCCGTGCCATCAAGCGTTCGGGCGCGTTATGCAAAATTGCCAATATCGGGTTAACACTTGGAGCACCGTTTTTTATCGTTACAGAGTTAACGCTTGATACCTCGATCGAATCGCAATTAACGTCACAGTCCAGTGTTGCGTTGGAACTTTCTTTTTTCCTCTCCAGTTAATGCAGTTTGAAAAACAGTTTATTGTTCTCTATGCAATTCTAATCTCGTAAATGAAACTGCCATTAACGTCAATTAATCACAGTTAATTCGGTGCGTGAACTGTGCGTCTTAAGGATGTATAGGCTATATACTTAAACAATGCTATCATGTTCAATTTGTTATTATACATTCCTATTAATATTAAAAAGATACCTGCAAAATTTTAGATAAATTCATGGGTTTTTTGAAAAATTATAGTCACTTAAAATTTGCATG